GGGGGCTTGGCGCCAGGGAGGCCTGATGGGGGCGGGGTGGTGGGGGGCTGCTCTATAAGGGTTAACGGGGGATGTTCTAAAGGGGTCCAGCTGGGAATGGGCTCAGATCTATAGGGATCTGGGGGTTCTCTTATTGAGGCCTTACTGGGTCTGTGGCAGGATCTGTAGGGGCTGCAGTCTGGTCTATGGGGGCCTTGTTGGCCCTGGGGTGGGATCTATAAGGGCTGGAGAGGGATGTTCTCTAGCCGTTCTGCTGGGTATTGCCTATAGGGGCTGCAGCTTGGTCTATAGGGGGCCCTGCTGTGGGGTGGGGTGGCATGTATCGGGGCCATAGGAGGTGTTCTGTAGAGGCCCTGCTGGGAGTGTGGTCTGTGAGGGCTCTGCTGAGGGTGGGACAGGATCTATAGGGGCTATAAGGGGGTGTTCTATAGGGGCCATGCTGGGGTGGGGTAGTATCTACAGGAAGTGAGTAGTGAGGTGGCAGAGCATGGCTTATAGGGCCCATCTAGAGGCAGACAGAGCTGGGTCTACAGGGGCTTTGATGGGAAAAGGATGTTCTATAGGAGCCACAGGGGAGGGGCTGGCTCTGCAGGGTGACCCTTCCTACATAGGGGTCTATATGGGATGTGCAGGGAAGTACTGATCCTCTCCCTGCCCCCAGGAAGTACCCTTGTGCATTGACTGTGATGCTGCTGCTGGTGCTGCTGTGCCCCTTGCTGGGCGCCCTGGCCTGTGCTGTGGAGGTGATGCGGCCCCGGGGTGTCTCCCTCACCAGTGAGTGACGGGGACCCTGGTAGCAGGGGGGAAACGGAGGTGAATTCGCAGCCATTTCTGCTGTACCCACAAGTCTGTGCACCTGTAGCTGGGGGAGAACCCAGGTGTCTCAGCTGACAGGGGAAACTGGTGGGTGCTGGGGAGGGGGGCGAGTAGGTGAAGATTCCTCCTCACAGGAGGCAGCATGCCTAGTGGGCAGAGCTGTCCTGGGTGCTCCCCCTGTTTGGGGCAGGCTCTGGGGAGCTCTGGGCTGGCCCCTGCTCAGGTGGTTGACTCCTTGTTTTTGCCCTCAAGACCATCATTTCTATGATGAGATGAAGCCCTTCACGTGCCTGGATGGGTCGACAACCATCGCCTTCGAGTGGGTCAATGACGACTACTGTGACTGCCCCGACGGCTCTGATGAGCCAGGTGGGGAGGGGCCCTGCTTGGGATGGGGGGCAGGAGGGGGTAAAGCTCTGAGCTTCCCATCCAGGGGACCTGTGGGGGGGACCTGGTCTACTTTGTGCCAGACCGAGGAGGATTGTGTGAAGACCCTGGAGGCTTTGTTGGGAGTGGGGGCATCTGGGGTCCCCAGTCCTAGCCCTGGGATTGTTGGTGGGAACCCATATGATCCATGCTGGGAAGGGGGGCATGGTTCCATTGGCTGCCCCCTCACCCCTGGCAACACACATACACCCCAGGATGGTGGGGGTAAAACTCAGGTGTCCTGCCCCCCCCCAGGGACTTCAGCCTGCCCCAATGGACGTTTCCACTGCACCAATGCTGGGTTCCGGCCTCAGTACATCCCCTCGTCCCGTGTCAATGACGGCGTCTGTGGTGAGTGGGGGGGAGTGGCTTGGGAGGTCTGTGGAGGCCTAGGGGGTCAGGAGGGGGATTTCTATGATGAGATGAAGCCCTTCACGTGCCTGGATGGGTCGACAACCATCGCCTTCGAGTGGGTCAATGACGACTACTGTGACTGCCCCGACGGCTCTGATGAGCCAGGTGGGGAGGGGCCCTGCTTGGGATGGGGGGCAGGAGGGGGTAAAGCTCTGAGCTTCCCATCCAGGGGACCTGTGGGGGGGACCTGGTCTACTTTGTGCCAGACCGAGGAGGATTGTGTGAAGACCCTGGAGGCTTTGTTGGGAGTGGGGGCATCTGGGGTCCCCAGTCCTAGCCCTGGGATTGTTGGTGGGAACCCATATGATCCATGCTGGGAAGGGGGGCATGGTTCCATTGGCTGCCCCCTCACCCCTGGCAACACACATACACCCCAGGATGGTGGGGGTAAAACTCAGGTGTCCTGCCCCCCCCCAGGGACTTCAGCCTGCCCCAATGGACGTTTCCACTGCACCAATGCTGGGTTCCGGCCTCAGTACATCCCCTCGTCCCGTGTCAATGACGGCGTCTGTGGTGAGTGGGGGGGAGTGGCTTGGGAGGTCTGTGGAGGCCTAGGGGGTCAGGAGGGGGATGGGTAATGGGGGGGGGCAGGAAGAAGCTGGCAGGGGGATCAGGAAGTGCGCAAGGAGGTCTGCAGGGGCAGGAGGGGGTCTGGCAGGGGTAGAAAGGAAGCAAGGAAGGCCTAAGGGTGTCAGGAAGGGGGTGGAAGGCCTGTGGTGGCAGGAGGGGCCTTGGGAGGTCTGTCAGGCCAGGAGGGGGATGGGGTCAGGAAGGGGTTTGAGGACCAGCTGAGCCCTGTTGCCTCCCCTCCACCTACCAGACTGCTGTGATGCCACGGACGAGTACAACAGCGGCTCTGTGTGTGAAAACACCTGCAAGTACGGCTTGGTGGCGGGGTAGCTATGTGAGGGGGAGCAGGGGCTAAGCCCCATGAGTCAGGCTACTGGGCAGATACCTCCTTTGGCCTGTCCTTATGCGGGGGGCACAGGCCTTGGCCCCATTTGAGGCCCCTGCACTGTTCCTTGGGTGCCCAGTGCCTGGCAGCTGGTGCTTGGGGTAGGTGGGGTCAGTCTGGGGTGCACAGGGCTCATGGGGTCACCTTCCCTCCCCCTCAAGGGAACTGGGCCGGCGGGAGCGTGAGGCACTGCAGCAGATGGCAGAGGTGGCACGCGAGGGCTTCCGGCTCAAGCAGGTGCTGATCGAGGAGGCCACCAAGGGCCGTGAAGAGAAGCAGGTGAGAGATTGGGTGGGGCTCCTGGATGCCTGGGTTCTTTTCCCAGCTCCATGCTAGGGTGGAGGGGGTGATGGGGTCATACTGTTGTGGAGGGACACCTGGGTCCTTTCTTCAGCTCAGGGGTGGGGTGATGAGATGATACTGGTATAAAGAAGCTTGGAGCCTGCACATCTGGGTTCCTTCCCCAGCTCTGGGGGTGGTTGTGGGGTCATGCTAGGCAATGGAGGTGGCTGGGCTGGGGAGGGGGAGCATTCAACTAGCTCTCACTCTGCCCCCCATCCTCCTCAGAAACAACTGGGGGAACTGCAGGAAGGCAGGCGGGGGCAGGAGGAACGGGTGGGGGCACTGCGCCTGGCTAAGGAGGCGGCCGAGAAGCCTGAGAAGGAGGCCAAGGACATGCATCACAAGCGCTGGGAGGGTGGGTGTGGCCCCCACATCTTGCTCCCCCCCCCCCCCCCCCCTCCCCCTCGCCCCGTCGGGCGG